GTAAGCAAAATCCATTTCCTTACTAGATTCGTCCTCCTGGGTTAGGCTTTTATCCTTAGTGGCTACCGACAGACTGCTTCCCGCCCCCCCGAGGCACACTTGCGCCCCAGAAAAGTAGTAAAACGGCGCAATGTGCTCGGAGGGGGCCAGTCGCCGCGCGCGGCTCAGCGATGTAGTGTAACTCGAACGTTCCAGCTTCTCACGGAACATTCCAGCTTCTTACGCATGCTAAGTGACTGCCCTCACCCCCCCCCCCTGAATTGGCTACATTCCCCCTGGCTCACGAATTTCCTGTTGCCGCAACGCCGCGCGCGGCGACTGGCCCCCTCCGAGGCACATTGCGCCTTCTAAACTAAGGAAAATTGAACAGCATCAAATCCATACCTAGAATAGCGAGAATATCCTTTGCTGACGGAGATGCATTGCCTCCCAAAGTTGCCAGGAGATAAGCTCCCAAGTACTTCATTTCTAAAGCTAAAGAATAGATAATTATCAAAGTTGCACATAAACAACAGATCCCTAGAACTGTGAATCTAATCTTTATAAAATAAGTTCGACACATCTATATTAAAGACATAGACAACACTACACCACAACCCATATTACGAAACTACCATTACACTCTTGCACTACATCAGAGCGAATAACAAAAACATATGGATCCTTATCATAAGTTCCCGCTGTTGATGAGGTCAAATCCCCTACAAAACAAAGTAACAAAGCAAATATTTTAAAATAAATTTAGGACTTTGATTTTCTTTCCGGCTGAGCAAAATATTAAAACGCATTCCCCTCGAGACCACCACAACAAAAGCAAATCCGCCCCCATAACCTTCGTGATCTCTCCGTTCCTGTGGAGTGCACTGAAGTTTTGAAAGCTTCAAACAACCCAATGTGAAGAAGATTTCGAAACTATGACCCGTCTTGAAGGGATCCTCCAAACTTGAATGCGATTTCTCATCTCCACCAGTAGTTGTTGGTGCATCCCACTTTTGTGGGGATAAGCTCACAACTTAATCCCAAACTCTGACACCACAAGCTCCAACTCCAGCATAGGATCCCTCTGGAAATCCCGACGGGCATGTTCAAGGGGCGCCGTCACGAGTTCAGGGATCAATTCGGCCGCCGCGCGACCGCAACACGGCTTCGGCAAGCGATGCGACGCGAGCGGTCCGTATTTTCCGTGCGTTCATCGGCGTCTTCTTTGATTTCGGGTTCAGATTATCGGATTTTTGACCTATCCCTTCAATATACTTACTGTGGTTCATTGGTTCGCGAGTATGGAGTTCCATCTTTCCATTTCTTGTCGTTCATGAACGTCTACTGGCTGTCACTTGCTTGGAATCACAATTGAACACCAATTTGTGCCTCTAGGAAAGCTTTGTGCATGGAAACTCGATCCTTATACACTCTTGACATTTTGCTTTCTTGCTATTCTCGAAATAAACTTCTGAATCTCTCAAGAGGCCCCTGTAGTCTTTAAAACTCTCCTTTTTCTTAATCTTGCTCTTCCTTTGTGGAAGCAGAAGCGTCCCCTGTCTACCTTCTTGCTATTCATACACAGATGATGGAGGTGTGGCTACGGCCTCTTGTACTCGTATCGTGAATTCCCTTCATATCCTCCGTCTCTGTTAAAGATAATTCGTCGGAGAAGCGAAAATAACAGCGCCAACATTGCATCTTGCTAGTGATCTTTTCTGTTTAAAGGTTTTCTGTAAGATCAGAGTCCAGATCAGCCTTTGTATTCCATGTAGCGTACCTATCAGGTGTCATATCACATTTTTTGGGTCTGGATTCACGGGGAGGAGCTAATCTGGTGCCGCACTTGATCGCTCTGTTATTAACAGAAGGGAACATGTTAAAACCTGTAGCTGATACTGAGCTTTTTAGGCACCTAAAAAGTGGAATCGTTAATAACTCTAATACTTTCTGAGCAGGGTCTTACATGTTTACTGCGCGTCCACATTTTTCCATACTTGGTCCTACACAGCTCATGAAAAGAGGTGACGCTATGCAAAACAGGAATTCCTTTTAGGGAAGCGTAGGAGGGCATAGGGGGGAAACTGTAAGAGAATGTAATCGTTCACACACGATGGAATCCCTCTTCCACTTCAAGGTCTAGCCCCTGTTTATAACAAAAAAAGTTTAACGCGGTTTTGGATGCTTAGCCGTCGTAATGCCCCTGGATCTTGCGGTACCGCCTTATTTTGTTTCATCGCAGGTTTTCCTGAAAGCTTCAGAAGACATTACTGCTCTTGGCATGTTGCGTTTGGCTAGCTGTTTGAGAGCAGTCATAGTTACGGTTTCCTACATGCTTACTTTCGTTGACATTGCATAGCAAATATCCTCGGTCGAAATACAGATCCGAATTTTTCTAGTGAGATACTTGATTTCGTCCAATTGCATGCCTTGAAGCCACACAACTTCTCCAGCAGATTGATCCCCGGCAACCGCCGGGACCACCCTTCCCTACGTTTTCGCTGCGCTCACGCATACAGCAGCAACAGCTCGTGTAGTGGATGCGTAGGATAAAAAAAATGGGTTTGTGTAGTAGGGTGCGCCATCGTCATTATGACATCATGACATGACATCTCAATTTTTAACTATGCCCCAATTCTGCTAGAAATTGGTTTTCCTGTTCTCCTCTTTATCATGTATATCTCCGGTGCCCTCCAGCCGCCACTGGCTGATGTCAGAGTCCGCGATCCTTTGCGCGATTTTCGCGATTTTCGCGATTTGCGCGATTTCGCGATTTGCGCGACGGGTCACGGAAATCACAAGTGCCCCATCCATACTGCAAGGTGTTCTCCAATCCCGCCGTCACTTCTGCTTGATGGTTATGGTTTAATGGAGACTGCTCATGATTCCACTTGTTTCATATCCAGTGTTTCAATTGTTCAAATGGGGCACTTGCAATTTTTGTGATTGGTTTGGTTTGATTCCTGAAAAAAATAGGAACGATTCAAGAGCATTTCAATGAACTAATAGACATTGAACATGAAACAAGTAGAACCACAAACATTCGTCTTCCAATCTTTACTGCCAAGCAGAATTCGCAGCAGGATTAAACAACACCTCGCATTCATCGGGCACTTCCAACTCCTGTGATCCATCGCAGGTTTCGCGAAAATCGCGCAAGGGTCGCGGACTCTGACATCAGCCACTGCAGCACCATGGGCCGTATGCTGAATGTTGGGAAGGGGCTGTTTTTTGTAATGTTGGGCTGTTTTTTGGATGAAGAAAGGTATTGACGAGCGAATATACAATCAGGAACAGTAAAAGAATGGAAACAAAGCTGCAAAATCAAAGGTGCGACCGTTGCAAAGTGGGTCCTGCGACGAACCTCCCCAACCTTTCCCCATCCCCAACATTCAGCATACGGCCCCATATGGAATGGTCAAGAGTGGGCTCAGTCAGAGATGTTTCTATTGCCGTCGTGTTGTTATCACAATCATGCCATTTCAAAACACCAATAGCTCAAATCTTGCGAATACCTGATTTTGTTTGTTGTTCCACAAGCTTTTTTATCGCTTTATTTAGCGGGCGAAAAGGCATACATACATACATATACATACAAACCACCACACCAAGTTAGCCGTTCACATATTGTGATATGTTGCATGGACAGTTTTTGGTGGTGCTCATAAAGCCCAAAATACGGTGACAGAAAGATAGTTCATTAGGGAATTGAGTCTTTCACTGATACACGTAAAGGAATTATTGGCTTATTTCATGCTAACACCCTATTTTGAGGACCTGATGCCGAACACGGATTTCGGACAGAATTAATTTATTTTATTCGTTCGTCTTTGATTTGTTTTTGTGTACATTTTACGGTCAACTGGTTTAACAGATAAGCCCTTGGAATGTTGCTCGGGTTTGGAAACGAAAGACGAAATACTTATCCTGGTTTTTTTGAGCTAGACAAAAACACTAGATAAACATGGGGAAAATAAATTATTCACTTGTAATAGGATCGGTCTTCTCGAAGCTGTGGGCTACTCTCCAGGCTTGGCGAAGGCGAAGTTTAGGTTTCGAATCATCCTGATTCTCAATAGGTATTATGTTTAGGCCATAACTGATGTTGTCGCTGTCCTTAAACCTCGAGCTTAAACGTAATGCAATGAAAATTTTCGGATGTACTTGGGTTTTTCGTAGGCCTCCAGATCTTCACGTCTTTTGCGAAACACCTCCTGTTACCGTCCGAGGGCTGAATTTAAGCTCCTCAAAGTTCATTGCTAGATCTACCCTTGAGCCGGGATAAGCTCTTTTCTAATGTCAGGTTCCTTGTTCATTGCGTCATTCTACCATGACGTTAGATTAGTGCTGGATCTGTGAAAAAAATCTGTCCCTGGAAGCAAGTACAATGAGAAGTGTACGATCTAAGTGTAGTCGTATGGAAAGTGTGCAACCCGTCAAGGAAGCACCTGAACGTTTGGCTTGGTTATTTGCGCCCATTTTATCTCAAAAAATCAAGACTATGTTCAACGGAATTTAAACTAGTTCACTGGGCAACTCTGGCACCATCTCTTCGATGTTCTAGCTTTCTTATCGAAGTAATATCGCGGAATCGTTATGAATTGTGCTTATTTTTTGTACTAGCGTTTTTGTCTGCTTTTTTCTTTGACCATCGGGTTGGTATTCCGAGTATTCGGCTTCAATCATAGTGTGGTTTTCGTCATGGATTTTAATATTAGGAAGTCCCACTATTGTTTGGAGCAGTGCCTGGCTCTTCTCTCTTCTCTCTTCTTTAGCAGAGGTACAGAGTTGTTGTAAATTTTGATTCCATCTATTCGTTGGCTTTCTTTTTCTTTTGAAAAATTGATTGATATCTATCAAAGCCGTTTTGTGAGTTTGAGTCTTGCCTGAAATGCTAAGTTTATGTACGTCTCGCATTATCTTGTCGTTCTAATCGTATGAAATAATAAAAAAATGTGTCACTACATCTATATCTGCATGTAGTCTTTTTGCAGATAACTGAGGGCGCTTGATGTGCGCTGATGCTGGGCGCGTCGTCACTAGACCCGTCGTCATCAGCGTCTCCGTGGCATACCGCTTCTGCTCCCGTCGTCGCTCATCCATCTACTAACTCACGCCCACCTAAACCATCACTTTCTCCCAAGACGGAAACGAATCTACCAACTTCATTCGCTCATGCCGCTGTTAAAGAAGAGTATTCACGTTAGTTTACTTTATGTGTTGCTCGAGTACATAATGGCTTCCACATTTTTTGACTCTTAACGTGCAGAGGTGTTAGAAATGATTTAATAAACTATCCTAATAAATCCTATTCTTATGTTAAATATCAAAATTTACCACAAGCTTGGAACATCATGTTCTCATATACGGGGGGGGGGGTGGAAAAAAAGACATTTCATCCATGTCGCACTTCAACGTTTTTTTTTTCGCAGAGATTGCCGTCGTTGACGGAAGTTCTTCAGCAAAATATTCCTAAATGTCCCTCTATAAGTAGACGCAGGCCCTCCTTCACTGCCCTCACCGTCTTCAGAATATGACGTCATCTGTCATCGTCGTCGAGCTCAAGGAGGCCTACCGTAACTGCTTCAGCCTGAAGCTCTTACATAATTTCTTGAATCGACCACCGTTGGATGAATTCCTACGATTAGCTCTGACTGTGAAACCTGTCTTCTCGAAAACGTGGTAGTGGTACGGGATCCGTCGAGGACCCCAAGCTCAAGCAGTGCATCATGTTTCAGGGCGAATTTTCCTGATGTCGTCCACGTTGATGTCCACCATGGACTTTTTTAGTAATAAAATGGAATGTGCTCTTCGTTTGTAAGCTGGTATTGGGAAGTGATTTCGCTTGATCTAGCAGAGTATGATTAATTTCACTTGGATGTGGAGGCAAAATGCTTGAATGCTTTTCATCCTGAAACTGTGGGTTCCAATACCTCTTTATTAGGAAATTGCTTGTCTTATCCTGGATTTTTAGACAAGTTTTTTCAGCTGAAGATTCCATTTCTCTTGTAGTTTATGATGTGATTTCGCTGTTTTTTATACCACGTCATGTAGAAGTTTGTTTTCACATGTCTTCCACAATGTTTCCTCCAACATGTGCTACCTTCCGATTTGTGACATCGCAGTTGGGCTTTTGAAAGAAAGCGGCCAACATCTTACTCATTGACCGTTTGCTCTAAAAAAAAGTCCCAATGAGGCTCTCCATAAGCTCTAAAGAATTTTTTTATGCCTTATACCTTCGATTAGAAGTTGAAACGGAATTCCTTGCCTTCATAAATCCATTAATTTTTTTTACAATAACGTGATTTATCAATATCAGCGTGCTGAAGAACACATGTGCCTTTTCTTCGATCTCTGCGGATGCTGACGTATTTGGCAAAAGGCTGAGAGTTGCTCAAAACAACAGTTTGCAGTTCGGTTAAGAATTGATTGCGAACTAATTTTTGTTTCCGGTGTTTTTTTTTTCGCCCAGTAAGCGAGAGGTGTGAGTTGGAGACCCTCCTGGCGCGAAGGTTCTGTCCATAACCCAACATAGTTGTGATTTTTTTGATTCTGGTAAATTTGAGACAATTTTTCAAAGTCTGTGTTGCATGAGTTGAAAAATTCAGAAATTAGGGCGAAGAATTT